AGTGGACTATGGAAGGTGGGTGAGGAGAGCTAGAGCAGGATGCAAATGATGGGAAGTGGGAACTGGGGAGGGGGAGGGGAGATCAGTACAGAAGGAAGAGGGAGGAGAGAAAAAGAACACCAAGGGTGGTTGAAAAAGCCATAAGGAATGACATTATTTTTTATTTACCTAGAATTACATTCACATAATACAACCTATAGTTTTGTGCGAATGGCAGTTTTCCCTACATGTATTTCTGCACACCATATGCCTGCCTGATGCTGCAGACCAGAAAAGGGTGTCAGATTCTCTGGAGTTGGAGTCACAGATTATTGTGAGCTGTCATGTGGGTGCTGGGCATCAGATGTGCACCTCTGGAAGAGCAGCCAGTATTCTTAAGTGCAGAGCCATTCCTCCCACCCCGCATTTTACACAGTTTCAAATGCTTACTCAGTTTTCTGGTCCTATGTGTTTCTGTAAGCTCTTATGTAAATTCTAGATTGCTCATATAGGTATTTTTGTCCATGGATAGCCATTATATTGGTGATCAGGGTTGAAATCTGATAATTTTGCTGATAGTATTCTTTCATCGACTCTTGTGGTCAGAATAGCTTTATACATGTGTATTTAAGTCAGGAAATGTGCTGCTGCCCATTTTTTCTTGTTTAATATTTCAAGATCACTTGTGATTCCATATTCATTTTAGGATGAATATTTTAAGATGTTATAAGGATCTTGGTGGTAATTCCATGAATATGTTATTTGCTTTGGGTAATACAGAGTCTTCCAATCCATGAAAATATGATGATGTTTTTCCATCTATGTCTGTTTTTCATTATTTTTAGTCACTGTTTGAGTGCTTGCTTCTGTGTACATTTCTTTGATCTCTTTTGGAAAAATGCTTCCTAAATTATTTTATTGTTTTTGATGACATTGTCAATTGTTTTTGTTAGCTTGTTTTAGAGGCAGAGCCTCACTGTACAGCTCATGCTGTCGTAGACGTCACTGTGTAATTCTGGATGATCGCATTTTGTGATTGTTTTTTTTTTATGCCTAAGCCTCATGGTACTGTGATTACAGGCATGTACTCCATACTCAGCTTGCAAATGGAGGTGTGCTGGCAATGGGCACAGAGCTGCAACTGGCTTTTGCAGGCAGATATTTTGCTCATGACTTTGCTGTATTGCAGTATTTGTTCTAACATGTATTTTGTGGAATCTTCAGGATTTTATACTTAGAAAGTCATGCCATATATAAGCATATCATTTAATTTTTCAGCTTGAATGCTCTCTCATTAGATGTGTTTTCTAATTAGTCCAAATTGCTCTATATGAGCAATCTAGAATCTAGATAAGACCTTACAGAAACACATAGGACCAGAAAACTGAGTAAGCATTTGAAACTGTGTAAAATGTGGGGTGGGAGGAATGGCTCTTCACTTAAGAATACTGGCTGCTCTTCCAGAGGTGCCTTTAGCCTTTGAGCATTAAGTTATATCTTAGGTTTTTCATACGTGACTTTACTATGTAAGTAGTAGTAATAGTTGCTCACTGACCTTTTATTACAAAAACGTGTTGACTTTTATAAAGTATTTTCTGCATTAAGGCTTTGATTCTCCATTCCATTGATATGATGATATAATTGCTAAGTTTATGTATTATTTTGACTGACCAAAGGGTGACAATATATTTGGCTAGCCTCATTCTGGATGTGTTTTTTTTTTTTTTTTTTTTTTTTTTTTTTTTTTTTTTTTTTTTTTTTTTTTTTTTTTTTTTGAGTATTTTTCTTGTTTAGATTTAGATTTGGTTTTGGAACTAGCTCTGTAGACCAAAATTAAAGGCAGGACAAGTAAGACTCTGTCTTCTGGCTTACTGTCTTCACTGGTTCAGGCCTTCAAAGGTGGACTGAAGCTATGCCGTCACCANTTTTTTTTTTTTTTTTTTTTTTTTTTTTTTTTTTTTTTTTTTTTTTTTGAGTATCTTTCTGGGTGAGATTAACATTTGGATTAAGGACTAAATCCACTGAATAAAATTAAAGGCAGGACAAGTAAGACTCTGTCTTCTGGCTTACTGTCTTCACTGGTTCAGGCCTTCAAAGGTGGACTGAAGCTATGCCGTCACCAATTTTCCTGAATCCCCAGGTTACTCACCACTGATCCTCTTTCTCCATAATTATGTGGCTTTATTCCTTATAACAAATCTTGCTCTTTCCTTTCCTCCCATCTTTCCCTCCTTCCCCCCTCTCTCTGATAGATATTTACCATTGGTTCTTATCATCTTAGGGACCCTGGTTTAGCTAGATACAAAATATCACACTGTTTGGCTTTCATGAGTCATGAAAGAGAATATAAAACAAGTAGGCTTATTTGGCTTATTTGCTTATTTTTAGTTTCAACTCTGCCATAGGTTGTGTGTGTGTGTGTTAGATAAGATCATAAAATTACAGTTGGTAGTGAAAGTACAGAACCCTGAGTGGACCAAAATAGCCCTTCATCAGTTAATTGATTATATTCTGTATTCTTTCATCAGACTGTGGAAGAAGTTTCAAGTTTGTCATTATTTGTCTTTAGAACATGCATCTCTTAGTAGTGTTTTGTGTGGCTTGTACACACACACACACACACACACACACACGCCTTCTTCAGTGAAGTCTCACTGAGTATACGAACCACACATCAGATTTCAGGGTATGTTCGGTAGTAGATGGCCAAAACAAAATGAACTTAATACTAATTTTGTAGACATTTGATCTCATAATACTTTGTTTGAACTTTATTTTTGGTTTCACTGGTCTCTTGTTTGTGTATTTTGGTTTATGATTTTGGTTTCTTGTGTGCCAGTTCCCTATTTCTGTTTGTGTTTTAGAGAGAAAGGAATTGGTGAGGGTGTGTGTGTGTGTGTGTGTGTGTGTGTGGGTATGGAGGATCTGGAAGGAACTCATGGAGGGGAAAAGCATAATCAACATATACCGTATGAAAGAATATTCTCAATAAAAACGGCACAAATATCTACTCTACACACCGTGTGTGCACGTGTGCACTCTTTTAAATGTCATAACTCTTGCAGAATTTTATTCTACACTGTATTTACACTTTTACCTTCATCTATAAACTGCGGCCCCATTTGTCTAAAAACGACTATTTCTCTGCGGCTGTCCTAGGCAGCGTCTACTGCATCTCTCCCCCTAAGCTCAGATGAGGTGAACTAATGGCCAGTCCTTCAGGAACCCCTGGGACAAGGTGGGCTGCTCCAACCAAGGTCTTTTAGACTCAGCCCTGTAATTGGTTGAGGGGAATGCGAAACTGTTCCTGCATCTGCGTGTTGTAAATGCTGGGAAGCAAATACAGGTCCTCACCAAGAGCAGCCAGTGCTCTTAATCACTGAACCATCCCCACCCACTCACCAAAAAGTTTTGTCATTTGATTTCTGACTGGGGTGAGATACAATCTTTTTTTTTTTTTTTTTTTTTTTTGAGATACAATCTGAATGTCGCTTCCATTTGCATCTCCCTTTTGAGTAAATACGTAAGTACTTTTCTGCACACTTACTGGCCATTGGCACCTTCTGGAAAGCGGCTGCTGTCTGCATAGCTCACACTCACAGCGTTTAGTTCATGCACACAGGTATTGACTGCATTAGCTGCTCTTCCAGTGCCTACTTTCTGCTGATACTAACACTGAAATTTTCTTTACTTCTTAGAAAACTGTGTTTAATCATTTGGTTCATCTGTTCAACTCCCATTTGTTTTCAGTTGGTACTCTGTTTTCTATTTTCCTTTTCAACTCTCTCTACTCTCACCACTGTTTTCTTTCTCATAGTAGTTATTTTCCCAGCGCATTAATTCTTTTCCTTAGTTTGCTTTTTGTTCTAATAAAGATTACTGCCTGGATTGCTTTCCCTTTCCTTAAGGGAAATATTTATCAGTATAAATTTCCCCTTACCTCTCTTTTGGTAGCCTCTTTTGGGGTTAGTATGGTGTATTTTTATTCATCTCAATATTTTCTACTTTACTTCCGCATTTCTTCTGATTTGTTGCTCATTTAACCTAGTCTAGCCACCATGCTTTGCAGGAGTGACCTCTAGGCTACGGGCAGGGTCCCAAACCCAGGGCTCTGACTTAGTTTCATCATTTCCTCCTGTGCCACAGCCAACATCTAGGTACCCACAAGGAACCCTTTATGCTGCCCCCGCCACCCCACTCCATAGGCAGACTTTCTACATCCCCCTCCAGTGTCTAGCCTGATAAACCACTGACTCCCAATCTTTAACACCATATAAACTGGGCATGACTTTATCTCAGAACTCAGAAGGTAGAAGCGGGGGTGGGGAGTGGGGTGGGGGGTGGGTGGATCAGAAGTTCAAGGTCATCCTCAGCCACGTAGAAAGTTTAAGGCCAGCCTGAGATAGATGAGACCTTGTCTCAATTTCGTTTACTAAATTATTATTTGGCCAAGTTAGTGGTCTTATGAAGTTTTCTAATAAATCTCTTTAGTCAGACTGTAGAAACCATTCAAGAAAAAAGTTTAAACAGAATTATAGTAGTTATTTTCATATTCAATTTGTCATACGCATTATATTGACATACAATTTGACTTTGATGCGAACTGATACATTTCAGTGCATATTCCGAAATATCCTCCATCTTTACCTGTGCATCTTATACACACTGGGAAGGGCTTGCCTCTCTTCCAAGTAGGAAATGAAGAATGTTTGAAGAGGTGGTTAAAGGCTTCTAAAGGGACTGATTAAACTAAAACATGATGATCCTAAGCGCATGAAAAATTGGTGAGAGGGTTCAGCTGAAGCAGTAAGACTTGTGTTTATAAATGTAACGTACCATAAAAAAATAAATGTAACATATCATAAAAAATAAATGTAACGTACCAAAACTTTGTGAATTTGAAAGACATCGGGGAGGGGCATATGCGAAAGTTTGGAGGGAAGAAAGGGAAGGGGAAAGTGTTTTAATTACAGTCTAATCTCAGAAATAAATAAAAATTACACAAAGAAAAGAGACAGATCATCATTCTTTGGCTTACACGATGATGGCAGACTTTAATGGGATGAGTGAATTAAAAATGTACACGATGGAATCATACAAAGATGGGAGAGGGTAGGCTACAAGGGTGGTCAGTATGCATTATGTACATTTGGACAATTACTAAAGAACAAATTTGGTAAAAATATTTGGAAATAGAAAGTATATTTTGTTGTGAAAAAAAAAAAAAGAGAAAGAGGACAGCTATTGCTGGGCCTAAAACGTTGTGGAAGAGCATTGGTATTGGTTTGCAGCAAGAATTTGGAAAACGTTGGCCAACCAAACTCAAGAAAGCCTATAATGCTGCAAGTGACTTCAGGGGTGACTCTGTGATGGCTCAGTGGATTAGAATGCTGACCAATAACAGCTAGGCTGATGAGATTTCAGATAAAGATGAGCAATCTGACAGAAATTGTTCTACAGGCCACTCATGTTCTACTGTGGCCACTAATCTGGAGGCATCTTGTCCATTTCAGAGATTTCTGTGGGAAGCCTAACTTAAAGTTGACAGACTAGTTTATCTGCTAGAGGAAACTACAAAATATATTGCAGCATGTGGGTTTTACTGTCTGCTTCTAGTAGGACTGACAGAGTCAGGGCAAAGACAGTTCAGGGAGGAATGGTATTAAGACGTGTGGTTTATTGAAAAAAATAAGCACAAATAAAGTATCAGTCTAAGAGGATGTCTTAGTTCCTTTTCTTGTGGCTCTGATAAAACACCCTGACAAAAGCAACTTCTGGGAGAAAGCATTTATTTTGGCAAACAGTGTGAAGGGACAGTTTCCTGTGGCAGGAATGCGGGTGGCAGGAACTTGTCTACACGTTACATCTGCAGTCAGGAAGCAGATTACGATGAGCTTGGGTGTGCAGCTGCCTCTTTCCTTCTTGAGCGGTTCAGGACACAAGGTCAGGGAATGGCACCATCACGATGAGGCTGGTTCTTCTCACCTCGGTTAACTTAACCACAGTACTCCCTCCCAGGCCTGCCCAGAGGCTTGTCTCTTAGTTGGTTCCAGATACTGTCAAATTGATAATCAACACTAGCATCATAGATGGTACAGTTGGAATCATTAGTGCCATGAAAAGTTAAAAGGAAAAATAAATCAGCTTGGAAATTTAGAATACAGACTTCTGTACATTTAAAGAACAGGTCACATGTTAGGAAAATCATTTGAGGAAACACAAATTAGATTCTGTGAGACACAGTTTGAGGTTAGTTCTTCATAATAACAGAAAGCAAGTGTTTTGCAATCACAATAGGAAATATTCCTCGAAAGTGTCTCAGGAATTAGTAGGTAAAAAAGGTACAAATTTAATTTTTTTTTAAAAAAAGAAATTATTTAGAATTACCTGGGGTGGAACTTTTTAGCTCACAAGATTGTCTTCTTCCTGGTTTTTCTTTGGTAAAAAAATAACATAATTTGAAAACTGATTGTTGTTGAAGCATGCTTATTTGTCTGCATAACAATAAAATAGCTTTTATTCTGTAAAAAGTTGATACACTTATACAATGTATATTGATCTTATCCTCTTAGAAATGATGGTTCTAAGAGTGTGAAAAACTGGCGTGAAGGTTCAGCTGAAGCAGCAAAACTTGTGCTTGTAAATGTACCGTGCCAAAACTGTGTGAGTCTGTCCGGGGATTGGAGCAAAGCATTGTCAGAAGTGCAAGGACATAGAGTGGTTGCTAATCTTTCATAAAAGCGATATCCATAGCCTTAGATATTGATGAATGATTAAGCAATAAGAAAAGTAACCTAGGATCAATTAATTGTCTGTTTTAAGGGGGATGGCCTCAAAGAAAATTAGGTAAGAATGAAGTAAAGACCATTTTCTGTAATGCATAACTTCTGTATGAATTTATCCATAATTTACTCGATTGGGGAGGACACAGCAGGGAAAGTAGACAACATATCCACAATAAACAAGATGTGAAAACAATTTAAATGTCTGGTGGATGAATGGATAAAGAAAATAAGGCAAGCACAGAAAGACAAATGTCACATAATATCACACATATGTAGACCCTAAAATAGTTGATCATATAGAAGGTGGTTATGAAGAGGTTATGGTGGTGAATGGTTGTTAGGTTGGTCAAGGGATACAAAATTTCAGCAGTAAAATAGGGTGAGTAAGTTCATGAGATCAACTATGCTATACAGTGTCTATAATTAACAATACATTATGTTCTTGAAAACACTAAGACAGTAAATGTTAGGTGTTCCTATTACAGAAGGGCTAAATATAGGAGGTAATAAATACTAATTACTTAGAGTTAGTCATTTTATTATATATGTGTGAAATATAATGCATGTTTCAAAACATGCTGTACACATAAATGTAAAATTTTTAATTGTGGATTTGAAAAAATAAATCTGATTAAAGTGGCATGAGAATACCTAATTCCTGTGAAGGAGTATATTCTTATACTAATTATTAGCAGCTTAAAGCAATGCATATTTATTACCTCACTTAATTTAAATCAGGCACTCAGGCAAGCCTTAATGGGTTCCTCTTCATCAAAGCTTTATCAGATACTAGTAAATTCATGACCAGATAATAAAGCATGATGTTCTTAGAAAGATTCAATTCGTTGCAACCTGCTAGAGCCTCAGTTAGTTGGTGATTTTTGTCTAGACGATACCTGCATTTCCTTCTGAAGATGTGAGCCTCTCTATAGGATACAACATGACAAAGTTCTTCGTCGGAATGAGCAAATGCGAGACCAGAAGTCTGATCGTGGCAGAAGGCACAGTCATATGATAATCTTGGAACTGGCATTTCATTATTTTTGACATTAGAAGCCAAGTCACTAGGTCAAGCATGTATTGAAAGGGAGAAAAATTTATAGAATATCACTAACATGAGGTAGAATCCTTGAGAATGAACAAAGACATAAACACCATCGATTGGTCTACTTTCCAGAGCGTCACAGTAAATGAAAGATTAGATCTGTCCTAGATGAGTAATGATTGAGAAAATTCTACATCGGTACTTTGTCAGAAGTACTGGTACTAAAGCATACTACTATGTTATCAATGAAAGAAGGCGTTATCTGGAGATAGGACTATGTCTTCCCATGAATAAAACATTTACAAAAGGATAGAAGTCTCTTAATATATCAATTCTGATTGCTCTCTTCTGGAGTGAATCAACCTTAACACAGAAACAGAGAATCCTCTCCTGTCCCATGTCATGAAGTAGACTCCAACTTGGATATTCTAAGTATATAAGTGATGCATCATTCAACCCAGAGACTACTTATATCCCCACAACAAATGATACTATGACATAGCATTTAAGTAGTGTCTTCTGAAATCTGTGTAGCATCTTTACTCAAATAAAATGTTAGCAACTGTGCCAGGGACAGGGTCGCAATGTGTCAGATAATAATAACATTTTATTGTAGATATATAAAAATTACCCGGAGCTGCAGGTAATTAAATGTAAAACAAACATTAATCAAAAATTAGGAATAAATGGGTAAATTAACTCGAGGCTGGAATAGCCTTTTGGGAATTTTGAAAACCATATATTAATTGTACAAAGCAACGAGCTTCACTCTGACATTGTCATCTACAAAAGTATATAGAATCTTAGAAAGCCAAAAACTCTAAATGAGTCGATAGTCACGATTCATGTATTTTGCGGTCAATTTGAAAACATTTACACTGATGACATTTTAAAATAAAATCCCATTCTTTGTTAAGGTAAAATTATGTCATTTGCAGGGAAGTGGATGCAAGCGAAGTTATCATATGACATGAGTTTACTCAGACTTTAAAAGTGTTTCTGTATCTAGATTTTATCTAGAAACATGACATAATGTATGTATATGTGATATTAAATTAGAAAGGGAACTGATGATGAATAAGAGGGACTGATGGGAATAGGCAGGGCCAGAAAGGGGAGTGGCATTGGATTAGGGAGAACATGGTTCAAGTCCATTTTATTGATTGGTTCGTCTATGAAGCACTTGCTTTGCAAACATGGGGACCTGAGTTTGATCCCCCAAATTTACCATTTAAAAAAAAAGTATGGAAGCATGTGCTTGTAATCCTAGTGCTGGAGAGGCAGAGGCGGGAGGATTCTGGGCCTTTCCAGCCAGCCATTCTAGCTAATTTGTGAGCTTCAGGCCAACGAGAGAGCCTGCTACAAATGTGGTGGGTAGCATTCTTGAGAATGACACCTGAGATTGTACTATGGTCTCCACATGTACATGGACATACAGACTCACACATGTGTGCAAAAGTATGCACGCATATATAAACACACATGCACACAAGTATGCACACAAGCATAAAAAGTACAATATCAAATAAACAAATGACAACATATCCTGGTATGGATGTGGGGAAAAGAAATCAACTTATACACTGCTTGGGGAAGTGGAAGCCGGCATGACCACTATGGAAATCAGTGAGGGGGTTCTCAAAAAATAGAAAATAGATCTACTACATGATCCAGTTATACCACTCCTGGATTACCCAAAGGATCCTATATCCTATTACAGAGATACGCATTCATCTATATTCACTGCTGCTTTACTCACAATAGCCAGGAAATGGAAACAGCCACGACATCCATCAACTGATGATTTGATAATGAAAATGTGGTACACAATGGAATATTATTCAGCTGTTAAAAGAATGAAATTAACAAGTAAATGATGGAGCTGAAAATAATCATTCTGAATGAGGCAACCCAGACACAGAAAGATAAACATGGCATGCTTCTTATCATTTCTAGATATTAGCTTTGAACATTTAGATAGTGGTAGTTCATTTGGAACACCCAGAGAGGTCAGGAATTTAGTAAGGAGTTATTAGGAGGAGGGCCTTTCAAGAGAAGGGGGTTAGAACACAATGCTATAAAAAGTTAAAGGTGTATAATGGAACAAGAAGCATTACATTGCAGTGGAACATGGAAGGGGAGGGCAGATGATAGAATATGAGGAGGGATAGCTAACATTAAATGCCTTGTGAAAAAGCCATAAGGAAATCTATCACCATAGACGTATCATAAGATATAGCCATACAGATATATAAAGTCTTGTTAGAATTTTCATACAATAGAGGTACAATACCCCAAAGAGACATCTCATGTTAGCAAACAAATCCCCAACACCAGGAATAGGTTACCTCTTTTTAAGTTGTTGGCCAATGGGGGTCACATAGTCCTCCCCCCAGAATAACAGACAATTCTAGTACTCTTGACTACCCTCCAGAACTTGCTGATTACGGCCTGACTGTTACAGACACTGCACATTTGAGTACCCGAACATGGAGAAATCACGGTGGTACTCACCTGGAACCTTCATCCCTATTGGCTGACTTTGATGGTGCTGGAAGGTGCTATGCCTACTGCTAGAAGAGAAAAGTAAACCCACAGTACCAGCCATCTGTGAAGCTACGAGGACTGGTCTAACCAGATATGACCTCTGGTGTGATGGTGGCGCAAATGTTATGAGAGTAACTAACCACTTTCCGATCGGATCTAAGTCCTGTTCCATGAAATGCTATCCATACCTGTCACCATTAAAAAGGCCAAAATCCTGAGTTAGATATGTCCTAGGGGAGAACCCCGTACTATTATTCTGCTAAATGGACAATTCTTAGTGACTTTTTTTTTTTTTTTTTTTTTTTTTTTTTGCTATTCCCATAGAGCAGAGCTTCTCTTCAGCCCTCATCAGGGAAGCTTCTCCTTATGGCAGATGGCAGTTAACACACAGACTCCCAGCTAGCCAGTGTGCAGAGAATAAGAGACTGTGTGGTGCTAAGCACTAAAGGGGTTTACATATTACACACACACACACACACACACACACACACACACACACACACACGGCCAAGGCTCAGGGATCTTTGTGGAAGCAGTAGAAGGAATCGCCAGAGGTGGTCGATAACATCAAGGAAACTGTTTTCCAGATACAACAGAGCAGTTAGTTGTACATATGGACTTCCAGCAATTGTGACCGACTGACTGCACAAGCTCCAGCCAAACAAAATCCTAGGACAAAGATGGGAAGGTGGGCACAAAATCCCACCAGTAGCTGAGGCGAGAGAGTCAGTTCTCTTAAATGAAGCAAGGTTGACCACATACCACTGTAGACCACACTCTGGAGACTAGCTAGGCTGCGCAGACTGACCTGTAACGAATACACTTGGTAACTTCAATAACCCAGCAAATATGCAATGGCTTCCAATCATCCTAAGGCCTTCTCAACCATGGTTTCAGATTATCCTGCCTATTTAAAGTCCAAGCTAGGAGATATGTCTTAGTCCATGGGGCAGACATTCTATATCAGTATCAGAACAGATTGCAAAGGGCAGTTAATCTCCTCCCTAACGTCTATCCATTGTTGTTTGACATACTTGCCCGCAGAGGAACGCAGAGGTGGTTACATTAATCAGTAACCCCCCACAGGCTGACCTTCTACCCTTAGTATCTCTATAAGCCTTGACATGAGAATCAAACATCTTGACTGTGGTCTGGAAGCAGAACTGCTCCTGCAGGAGCCTACCAGGAGACACATCTGTCTGTGACTCTGAAGACAGAACAGAAGCCCTTTGTCTCGGTTATACATGCAAATAGCTGCTACTCAGTTTTTAGCCCCTCTCAGTCGCATGACTGGATATGTCCCCAACCCCATGCAGTGACTCCATGCAACACTGTCAGGCACATGGAAGAAAGCATACCCATTTGTGCATGCAATAAGAGGCCCACGGACCCTTGTGTGAGTGCCAACACTGGGAACTGACCTGAAATTCCCAGAAAAAAAAAAAAAACAATAAGAGCCGCACCTGTGTTAGAGAGTATATGCAGTTAAACGACTAAGGAGAGTAAAAGTGCGGCAGACCAGAGCCACGTTGCTTTGAGCTACTTTTGACTTCTTTGAAGACTGTTCATTGCCCCCTCCATGTCTGACCTAACACTTTTGTGACTACCAAACTTTAAAATGTGTTCTGAGCAAACCACTAGCTTCCAGCTACACAAAAGCTAAGAATGTCACCAGCTATCACCTGAGGCCCACAGCAAGCTTGAACCTGTCTCTCTGATGTGCCAATGTACATCAAGTGTCTTGAGGTACAACTTTGTTCTGTTACCATAAAAAAAAAAACTTCATGAAACCGTTAACGTAGTATGCCATGGTATTTAGGGTAACAAGAATCTGTGTTTCCAGATTCATATTTGGCTCCAGAATAAACTCTTATTTCCTTTGAGTTGAGTGTTATGATTTGTGTCAAGAGGTCCAAGGTATTACTACAAGACAGTCCAACCCACTCTGATAACAGACACAATCCACATTTAGTAGATCAAGAAGTTATGTTAGTTTTCTCATTGCTGGAAAAATACATTGGGCAAAAAGTGTTTTGAGGAGGAAAGGCTGATTTTGGTTCATTGATAGGAAGGTATGTGATTGGGACTCCACATCTCCTTATAGATTCATCACTTCTGCAAAAAGGAAGGATGCGGAGAAAGGGACGAGTGCCAGTTCTCAGCTGCCTTTCCCCTTCTCCCCTTGTAATTCAGTCCAGCCCCTGCCCGATCCCATGGGATGGTGAATTACACAGTCAAGGTGTGATGTTTTGCTTTAGTTAATTCTCCCTAGGAACTCCCTCACAGATACATCCTAATGCATGCCTCACCAGTGTACTAGCAATTTTTAGATTCCAAATTGTTGCTAAAAAGAGGATTAATGGGCATTCTAGCCCACTAACCACAGCCCAAACTGTAAACTCAGCTGGAACTCATATAGCAGGACTAGGGTATTTCTCCTCTGTCTGTTGGTCTGAGGTCCTTAATTCTGAGAGACTTCTTTCTATTTTCTGTGCATGGCCCTCTCTGCCTTCAAAACCAGCAAGTTTTGAATCATTCTCATGAGTTGTATTTCTTCCACTTACCCTTCTGCTGCTAAGACAATGAAACTACTTTGAAATGGCTATTCTGGTTCGGTCACACATTCCTGGGTAATCTTAAGGTCAGCTGACTCAGGTCTTAAGTTACATCTGTAAAAGTCTGCCCAGGGAAACCTACACTAATGTCTTATTGAGTAATCTGAGAACGGAAATTTTGTAGGGCAGCTTTAGCATCTTCCTTCTTAGCCTCAGAAATTCACATCCATAGAACATAGAAATTATAAGGCATCCTCATTTAAAGTCCCGAGTTTTTCTCCACAACATTATCAATTTAATGTTCAAAACCCATCAAAATCCATTTAGCTCTAATGTGCCGAATTATACCATCTAAGTCATGGACATGAGATATTGTCGGAGGTCCGGATCCAGTCTCTGAAGCATACCTTTGAGAACACGGTCCTTCTCTGTCTGTGGCCATGTGAAACTGAAGAGTTGTGTTTGCTACCAGCACTCTCAGCTTTCAGTGCTCAGGTGTGTGTGTGTGTGTGTGTGTGTGAAGGTTAGAGGACAACTTGCAGGATTTACCTCTCTCTTTCTATCGTAGGGGGTTCTAGGGATTTCACTCATGTCGTTAGGTGGCAAATGGCTTCATCCACTAATCTCTCTCATCAGCCCCTATGTCCTTTTATTTAAGGATTTTTTTTCACATAGCACAGTTTTGTGACATGTATTGCTATTCGTTCTGTAGCTAGCACATTTTTGTATCAAGTATTGCTATCTATTCTCAAATATCATGTTTCTTATTTGTAGTATATTTCTGTTTCCATTTAATTTAATTACAATTATTGATACCTTATAGCTTTAGTCTGAAATTTTACTTCTGCTATCTTTATTTCTCTGTTTTTTTCTGCCTTTCTATGGGTTCCATTTATATACAAATATGCTACTATTTCATTAATTCAAACATAATTTGTAAGAAAATATAAGTATATGTTTCAATAGGAGTGTAATCCCTGGTCTTGGTACCAAATCATCATATATGCTTGCAATGAAAAAGAAACTTTCAAGTTAAATCATTTGTAACCAGTGCTTTAATCTCAGGGGTTCTCCTAAACACTAAAAATGACAGCATGAAGGGAGAGGAGCCACTTGCATACTAACTCACAAACTCAGCTCCACAAGAACCTTCGAATTGGAAGGACAATAGTCTTTTGAAATCTCAAATTTCCAATGAAAGACTATTACAAGCAGCTATGTATTCCTATGTAGCAATCATATTAGGAACCTATGACCTAAACAGTGGTGAAGTGTCATTCAATTTGTTGGATTCTATGCAATTTATAACTAGGCAACCATTGCGCAGAGTGAATACTAATTGGATTTTTCAACAAAACTTGGCTGTAGTCAGTGATTCAACTTTATTTCTTGGCTGTGTTCACAATAGCTTTTAAAGAGCACGTAGCCTTGATCCTGCTGCACCTATTGGTTTTGTGGGAGCCTAGGCAGTTTGGATGCTCACCTTACTAGACCTGGATGGAGGTGGGTGGTCCTTGGACTTCCCACAGGGCAGGGAACCCTGATTGCTCTTTGGACTGACGAGGGAGGGGGACTTGATTGGGGGAGGGGGAGGGAAAGGGGAGGCAGCAGGGGGGAAGAGACAGAAATCTTTAATAAATAAATAAATAAATAAATAAAAAATAAATAAAGAGCACTTAGCCATCCACAACTGCATACTACAACCTAGCTATGAAAGAAATTAAATCTCTGTTCAATGGCTGC